CTTTGGTATTGGGAATGGATGGGTTCGATACAGAATTTTCCGCTCTACTTGGAAAGTTGTTTGAAGCGAATCCATTCACAAAATACTCGAATCCTGACCTAAGATATCTTACACGAAATTTGAACATGTATTGATTCGATTTTAAAAAAGCATTTTAAATTGTGCTTTTGCAAACTCCGAATTATTTCATAGATAAAAACAACACAGCAATGGGATTTAAAAAAATACTCGTATTTATATTCGTGAACATTTTGCTCAACGTTGGTATTGAAAAACTACCATAGTCTATAGATTTGTAAATCTTCAACGGATCCCGAATTGAGCTTACGTTCATTCATTTTTGCCAAGTTGTCGAACAGCATCAATGATAAAGCTTAATAGGATCCTAAATAGTAAATTATGAATAGTCTTTGAACAACATCGGAAAATATTTTATCTAAATGGTTATTTTTTCTCATTAAGATTCCAATCATACTTGGACTTGCTTATGGATTTCAAGTATCTATTCTTCGTCGTATCTTTCATTCACGTTTGCAGTAAAGAAATTAACGAGAGACCAATTTGCTCAGAGGACCGAAGAATTCGTTTTTTTTCTTAGAAGAAAAGTCTTAATAATGAGTCAATCCTATCATAAAAGAGCTTCCAAGCATATTTTATTATCATAATCATCGCGCATTTCCATTAAATCGCTTCACGCCTCATCGTCTTTAACATGTTCGTAATATTTAAAAATATGCCAATGAGTTGTTTTCCCCAATCGATTTCTATAAACCATCTGTCAACATTCATTTTGAATTCTCAGTACATATTTTTTTTAAATTAACTTCACTAAAGAAATAACAAAGCTCTTTCTATTTGGAAACTTTGTTTATAAAAATATTGACGACAATCAAATTAAAAGCGATGCAATTCGTAATCTCTTTTATTGAGTGAAATTTGTCGGATAATTATATTTGTGTCAAAAATATTAAAGAGGAAAATAAATGATATCAAATAGTTTTGATCAATAATTGCTTAAATAACATTAGCGAACGTCTCCTATTACAGATGTAGTAGTCTAAAGTATTTCTAAAGGTATATCAAAAGAAACTTAATCCAGATGTGTTTCTATGGTATGATTGAGCAATGCCTCCTAATTGTTCCCGTGAAATGGACGATGGTGCAAATAAATCAAAATATACATTTCGACTACTATTGCCAGATCGAACAAAGGTACGAAATCTTAAACCTAAGGTTGGTGGATGTAGACCAAAATTTTGAAATTCTATACCAAGTAAAGTATATAATCGAAATGAAATCAAATATAATTCGTCGATTATGAAACCATTTTCATATAAGATAATATGACCATATTGACGATTCATCAATCGTTCATAAGATGCACGTCGACAACAGAAAGATGATAAAGGAGCAGCTCTCCACTGTCGATCGGGACCATGAATATAGTTTAAATAACGTATCCATTCTTCTCCATCAAGTCGCCAAACAATCGCGTTTTCTAGAATTCTAGGATCATTGAAATCGCTCAACTGAATACACCTTTGACAACTCCAGATACAAGCAACAAGAAGAGCGCTGAGACCAAATGT